TTTGTTTGGATGTTTGTTATGTATTGTTTTATAATGCATCATATTGTGTTGTATTGTGTTGTATTGCATCACATTGTATTGTTTCAATGAATACAATATTTGAATAGATTGTATTGTTCTCTGTCGTTACATAAAGTAGGATATAAGGTAGAGATACTATGAAAAGATGGGGTAAAAGATGAAATATAATTATTAAATAATAAATAAAGATAAAATGAAAAGAAGATATTAAGGTAACGACACGATCACACCAAATTAATCATTACACAAAAATAAGTATTTTCGTTGTGAAGTAATGATGAATCTAAATGATTTAATATAATAGAATTTAAGTAACGGTCAAAAGAAATATTATATTTAAACTAACTATACAATAACATACAATGGACAACAACCATCCAAAAAGTTGAGTCGGGTGTAATCGAGCTTGAGGCCTGTTTTAGGTTGATTCTAGTAGTGTATCAAGTTTAATTGTGTGGACTGGTAAAAATGATTAAAATAAATACTAGATTTAATTAATGAAAAGTAAAATTTACATAGGTGCCAGATAGGTAATTTTATGTGGGAATATGGTGATTTGATGGATGGAGGGTAAATATGGTCATAAAGTTAGATGAAAAGGATACATATATCATAACAGTATAACTAATGGTGTAGGTGACCCTTTTCAAAGAATACAAGAGCAAATAATGATCTTTTTCCATTATTATTCTTGTTCTATTGTTCCCTATACGGTATGTTTGATTTGTTGTACGATTTGTTAAAATAAAAGACATAGTTCATATGTTCTTTAGAATGTCAATAGTCTACTACTGGTAAGTATACCAAAAAAACAAAGGGGAGTAATTTAGTTCTATCGTATTGTCATCCTAATTAATATACACCTTGATTTTGTCATTTAGATCTAACATATACTTTTTACTTTTGTACAAATGACTTGCATATACATTTACCTTTATAAACAGAGGTCACATATACCCTTCATCTAAAGGAAGTGAAGAAATTAGTCTGAAATATATTTCTTTAACTTTAAAATTCAAAGAAAATTCATGTAAGGTTGTATATATGATCTTTCTAACAAAGTTTAAGGTATATTATAATTCCTTTCACACAAAATTTTTTTGGCTTCTTTGATTATTATTTATCCAATTTCTTATTTTTTTTCTTCTTTCAATCTTTAGTGTAAAGAAAAAAAATGTAAACTAATTTTTTGTGCTATAATGTACTTTATTTTTTGTATTTGTAAAAAGGAAAAATGGACATCTATAAAATATTTTGTAAGATAAATAAATTTGACCATCAAAATAATAAATAGTCCCTCCGTTTAGAAAAGAATGACCCTGTGTTATTTTTAGTCAATTTTAAAAAGAATGACCTCTTTCCTTTTTCGACGACACTTTAATTTTAACTTTCCACATGTCATGTTTAAGACCACAAGATTAAAGGGCATTTTGGTACGTTTTACATAACTTTAATTTAGAACTACAAGATTAAAAGGTCTTCTTTCTTTTCTTAAACTCCGTTCTAAGTCAAATTAGACAATCCTTTTTCAAATGGAGGGAGTATAAATTAGTCGTTGAGAAAAAAAGTAAAAATAAATACATGTGATGTAACACCCTGTACAAAAAATAGAACAAAAATCATTTTTTTTCAGAAAAATCTGCAAGTGCAACCAACGGTGGCATTGACAAACTGTCCTGCACAACCGTCGATGGGATCAGAAACTCCCAAAAACTCAACCGGGAAAAAATTAGCTAAGTCTTGATCGACGGGCGGACTGATGATCTGTAGGTCAGACGACAGTCCGTAGTCCGTGACCGTCGATCGAGACCCCCATTTACCCACTCTCTAACAAGAGCTACGAATGACCAGTAAGGTCCGTAGGTGGAAAATTTACAAACAGTTAAGGGGAAATGTAATTGGATCAACTTCAAATGGTCATAACCCTTAGCACAAAATGAATTAGGTGTCCCATGACCTGCCAACAGATAGATAATTGAATTAGCTTTCCATAGCACCGACCTTGCTAAAATAAGACCTTCGAGTAAAAAGTTATGTCCATTTTAGTAAAGGCCTGTCGAACAGGCCCAGTCGATGGACACAACGACGAGGCGTCGGTCAGACGATGGACCGTCAGTCCTGGCCGTCGTTTGGTCTGACAACAACTTTCTCAGGGGTCTTTTGGACCTTTCCCACTTCGTTAAAACCCTAAGTTACATCGTTTTAATCCTAAATCATCATATTTTAGTCATTTTAAACCTAGAAACATAACTAAAACATATCTAAGTCAAATTATTAAATCAAAAGTTAGAAAATTAGAAGCAAGAAAGAAGAAAAAGCTCAAGAACCCTAGTTCAAGAACGCAACAAGTTGCAACAGCTCCAGCCTCGAAACATAAGTATATTTCTGTGGATTTCATCACCAGGCATGTGGAATTTCATATTGGGTTCCTTTCACCCATTGAGTCCCTAGTTTTCAGTCAGATTCTTAATTCCCATTTACTGCTTAGATCGAGGGTTTCTAGAACTTCAACAGAACTTCATGAATTAATTAGTTATGTATTCCAGATCAGATTACCATGTTATTACTCAGATTATTGCATGAATTTCAGAATCCTAGCTTTGTATATCTTTAGTTATTGAATACATATGTTAGGTCAGATAGTTCAAACACTTCAGCTATACATGCCTTAGTTATAAATGCATAATTACCAGATTAATTGTTGCATTCTCAGTTTGCATGTTCAGTTTCGAGATATTCAGTATTTACAGAAACTCAAACATAATAAGTAAATTTATAGAATTCATTAGGAGTAGCATAATACCGAGTTGGACTAGGGTTTAGCGTACCCAATAGTCCCAGAACTACTATCTAAGTAGGTTGTAAGTCCCCTCTGTTGGCAATCGGTTTAGTGATTATGCCAGCATGTCTTTATACCTTTGGCAGGGTATATTGGGTCCTCTTAATGGGGCGTATACATTGGACTCCATATTTAGCTCATGTGGTTTTATTATCGGTTACTAGTAGCTCCCACAGATAAGTCAGATTCTCTGCATTGGCCATTAATCAGTATATTCAGTTTTAGCATGTTATGAATTGGTCATTGCGTCCAATTAGCTCAGAATTCAGTTTATTATGTTAGATTATTAATCTTGCTTTTATTCTTATTTCGTTATGTTTTATTTCAGCTTTACTTTATCCTACATGCTCGGTGCCTTTCAAGTACTGACGCATACGTGCGCTATATCTTCTCATGATGTAAGTTCAGGTTCTCAGCATCCAAATCACGCATAGATCGATTTTTGATCTCCTGTTCAACAATTTTAGTGGTGAGTCCTCATTCTCCGAGGACAATAGTCATGGGTGTCATTTCTGTCTTTAGTCATTTAGTTTTCAGTCTTTGCTAGATTTAGTTGGGAGCTTGTCCCAGTATTTCTAGTCCAGTTTAGAGGCTTATTTCAGACATAGTT